TTCAACATGTTGAACATGGCTAGTTTAAGCTCAAAGTGAGCTTCCTGGATCTTGGGAGCTACAATACTAGGGTTGAGTCATCCAATTGCTAAATGATATTTAATGCCATATGGTTGAGCAGCATTCCTTGCATTCAGAATTGCTGTAACATTTGGATCTTCAGGATCATCTACTTGTTCACCTCCTTGGTTTCGTAGGGAATACATGTTTCTTTGAGCATGTCTCATTTGACGAAAAAAATTGTTCAATTGGTAATATTGATCCTTCGGGTCTCCCTGGGGTCATGCAACATCAAAACCTGAAAAAGACAAACAAAAATAATAATAAGTAAAACTATAAAAAATAAAGAAGTGAAATAATGCTATAACAAAACTTTAAAATTCCAGTTGCCAATCCTCGGCAACGGCGCCAAAAACATGTTTGCGTTGTGTGTGTTCTATAAATTACGCGAATATATGTGCAAGTATACACAATCGGATAAGTAACATAGAGCGAGTGAGTATCGTCTCCACATGGATTGAAGGGATTCAAAAGTTAAGTTGAAGCACTAAACTATATATCCTAATATATGACTATGTGATGGTATAGACAATTAAGAATGTTGTGGCAAAATAAAATGTATAAAAATGGAATTACAATGACAATGTGACAAGGTAACAATTGGAAATACTATGGAAAATTAAAGCGTAACAATTCAAGAATGATAAAGGAAATTAAGTTGAGAATCTCAGAATGAATAAGATAGTTGACAACCTCGAACAAACAAGCTACAATGAAGATAATTGGTAGGGTTACTAAGGAATACTAAACCTTGTCTTCTGGAATGGTTCAAGTCTTGTATGCCTATTTGCTTGACTGAGTTTGCTAAAAATGTCCCTAGGCTATCTCTAGTAAGGAGCTTGACAGATAAAAATGTTACGGCAATACCTCTTAGCATGGAAAATTCCTATCGATTAAGTACTATCCTTTTTAGTCATTGAAATCCTATCCTTATCTCTAAGGTGGATTAGGATCTAGTTAGCAGCTAAGCCACATTGCTCACGTTGATTTCACCTAGCTCTCTCGAATAATAGGCATCAAACTTAAGAAAAGGCCACTCTCGTAAGCTCTTAAAATCCTAAGTAAATAATTACAATGAGTAAAGAAAATATTAACATAAAAATATGAACTATTCATTAAACAAAAACTTAATCATCCATAGTTAAGCTACACCAAATAGGTTAGTTCATGGTGGGGTACAAATCATACAAAGAAATAATTTGTTCCATAACAACCCACAAAATAGAAATAAAATGAAAGCACAAGGTAAGAGCAAACTCCCAATATGCACGCTGTTGTGAGCTCCTTGGGCCACAGTGAATCACCTTAGCAAGCTAACTTCTATCAAAGGCCTAGCTTGCTACACTCTTGAAGCTTGGCTATGGAGGACACCACGAAGAAGATGAAAAGGGAAAGAAAAATGGAAGTTTTGTATTCGCCTTTCACTCCTGCCTACCTCACCCTTTTTCCTAAAAAGACTCTTTAATTGTAAGACATCATTATCTATCTATACTAAGGCAATATCCTAGGGTTTTGTGCCAAAATTCCCTTTATACCCTAGGCATCATTCCTTTCACGTGAAGGGGTGTACAATGATGGTGGTGGTCCTCACACGGTGTTGGCTGGAGGGCACCACGTGTGGGTCAAAAAACTATCTCCTTTAATAAAATTATCTTCCTCTCTTTTGTCCTTTTCTGCTACCAGGAATGTCGTCCAGACTGCTGCAACATTCTTCCACTACTTCATCAATAAAAAATGCTACAAAAAATGTCCTTACTCTCCTCTGATTTCAATCACCTGCTCATCAACAAACAAACACAACCTTCCTCATTAAGCAGCACCAATTTACAAAATAAAATGTTGCGGCAAAACAACTTCACCACATGCAATGATATGATCCTAATTGCATCTATATGATTATAAATGAGCCCTAAGACAATCAACAACCTAAGTGAAAAGGCACAGGATATAGCCTTTTTACATGGTTATCAATAATCACCGACTGTAATTCTTCATTCAAATTAGAAGAGGTAAATTGTCAACAGTCAATTTAACCCACTTGTTCCCAGTAAAAATTGGTGCGGTGAGAACGTAAGATATAAATGAGAATCAATCAAAATAAACTCCTCAAAATAATCCTTGCTACAAACCTCACTTAAATGTTCTTTGGTCAACGAAAAGGATTATTAATGTAATTAGTGGATCTCGACCTTCGACATCATATGGCAAGAAGCCATAACCCTGAAGAGTGATATGTCTATTGGAATCGTAGTAAAAACACTTTTGAAGATCAGGATTCTTCTCAAGTTCTAGACGAAACCATTGGTGATCTGCTATAATGTATTCGCCAAACGTGAAACCCTTGACAAAACTAGTTAAGTAGAAAAGAAGAAAGTTAGCCATCGGCAAAATCCAAGGGATAAAACGAGAAATAGATAAACTCCCGACGGTTGGTTTTATTAGGGAAATGACATTCGGAGTGGATCTCTAATATTACTATGACTAAAAGGTAAACGGTAATGAAGGGTGTGAATTAGTTTCACGAATCTTAACAAATCATGTCCCAAAGATGATTTTATCAGAGAAGTGACATATTCGAGTGAATCCCTAATGTTGTCATACTGATTAAGTGTTGGGTTATTCTCGAAGAAACCGATATTCAAATCTATTTGATCTATATTCTCATTTTTTTTTTCTTTATGTACATGGTACATTTGTTATATTCTTGTGAGATGAAATCAGTATATTTAATAAATTTTTTTTGGATAATATTAAATTGAATTATAAAAATTAAAAATAAATTAAAATCAATTTCAAATTAGATAAACTTTTTAAAGATTAAACTGAACAAAAATAAAATTGAAGGACTTCATATATTATCTATCCTTTTCATTAAAATCAATCACTCAAAATTATCACATAACACATTTTGCTCAATTGTATTTTTTTTAATAACATAAAAAATAGGAAATAAAATTAACTTTTAATAATTTAAGAAATAAAATGTCTAAAAAAATCATTTAGATAACAAATTGATAAAAATATCCAGACAAATACGAATGAGATAAAAGAGATACTTCATATCAAGATGAGTCTACAATGAATATCATACACCGATGTGCACTATATAAAATAGGGTAATATTTACAAATAGTTATTAAACTATAATAAAATAATCTTATTAGCGTAATTTTTAAAATTCATAAAATGTGAATTAAACTTTGGGTTATATTAAAAAAATATAAAACTTTAATTGTCATTAAGAGTAACATGACATATTAAATTAATAAAAAATATCTTATTTGGTTTCTCAATCGTGATTAATTTTTTATATTTTTTAATATGTTAAGTAATAATTTTAAAAAATAAAAAAACATTATTAGATAATATATAAAATTTTACAAGTTATTTTTAAAATTATAAATATATTTTCAAAATTATTTTCAAAATTACTAAATGAAAGTTAAATAATTAAATCATATTGCTTAACAACAGAAATTGATTTTATTTTTATAATTAAAATTGTTGTATCTCTAAAATTATAAATTATAAATTTTATAAATACAATCACAATTACAATAATAAATTAATTATAAAATAATTTAGATAATTCAAAAATTCAAAAAGTTATAACTTTAAAAATGAAGTGTGAATCTCTCTCTCTCTCTCTCTCTCTCTCTCTCTCTATATATATATATATATATATATATATATATATTGATTTTCAAATTATTATTTAAAAATATTGGAAAACATAAAAATAAAATTTTAGATACAATTGAGTGGTCAAATAAATATTTTTTTATTAATTTAATATATTATGTTACTCCTTTAATGTCACTTAAAGATACTGTATCCATTTTGTAATAAAATTCAAAATTTATTGCCCATTATATAAGTTTTGAAAATTTAATGTTCAAAAATATTATTTTAATATAATTTAATAAAAATTTAAAATTATAAAATATAAAATTAATAGTGCATTCTAATATGTGACATTCGTTCTAAAATTTTTCCTTCATACTATATATGTCTCCTTGAATTTGATTTTAAAATTTGATTTTATTTTTAAAAATTCATATCAGTGTACGAACTAAGTTATTTTAGTGGATAAATGTATAATTGTTATCGCTAGAGTTTTCATGTTCGAATATCATCAACTGCAATTGCAGGATATTAAAACGTTCATTATCAAATAATTGTGTCTTTAGAATATATATTACAACTTATAATCCCCTAAATTAAAAAAAACGCAGTCATTTTTGTTTCTTTACTAACCCCACGCATAAATGAAAAATACCAAAACAAAAAAACATTGGGTAGAGGCTGAAATAAGAAGCCACAAAGTGAACTTAACCCGTACATTTTGCTTTCCCTATCTGCCAACCACGCAACCCTACAAAAACCTGAACATATGTGCTGTTACATATAGATAGAACAAAGATTAGAAAAGGCTTCATACAAAAATAATTACTTAAATTATATCTAAAATAAAAAATTTAAAAATTAATATTATATATATATATATATTTTAAAATAACTTATTTCTTCTACAGTCAATCCATGGTTGTATCAGTTGGCAACATTAGAACTATCTCGTCATTACGATCATAACCTAGTTTTTCACCCATTGTGAAACTAAATCGATTGTCGTAGAAAACACTAGAAAGGGTTGTCGGATTTTTAGATTTTCCTTTGTTGATTTTTTATGATTCTAATGGCTCCAACTATTCATGCATTACACAACTATCACCATCGATGGTGATCCGGTGATCCTTCGCTGTCAAAGGTGGGAGATTGGGGGGAGAAGGGACGATGTAGGGGGGAAATAATATTTTTAATTTTTTTAAAAAAATATAATAATAGATACCTAAAAATATATCGTAGAAAACAATTGATAGATATTTTAACAATAAATTATTTAGAAAACAAAAGTAAATTTTTAATACAATTTAGGCACTTGTGTTTTCATTAAGCCATTACAAAACGATAAACAACGGCCACTAGGCAATTATTTCTCATTTCAACCGCATCACACATTAGCTAATAGTTTGATGAGAAAAAATAAACATGATTAATCAAGTAGAACATAGCCCTTGTTATAAGCCTGCATCCCACAACTCAGTTTCTACTCTCATCGGTTTGCCTACGGAAATAGTGGAGTAGATAAAGGTGGCAATGGCCAAGTCATATTCTACCTTTCGGTTCTGCGGTAGAAATGGGAGATGTTCGGGTTCGGGTTCATGATCCCGGGGGTATAATGGTGGTGGAGGAACTTTGTATTAGGTATTTGATGTTGGCCGGCAACAACTGATGGGGAAGTAATTATTGAAGATGAGAATCCTGATGATGCTGCACTAGGGAAGAGTGGCATTTCATTTGTCCCAAAATAAGGTCCTTGGATTTGCCGTGGTGGGGAATCTACCGCTGTCCTCTTCTCTATTGCTCTTTCCTGTGAAAAAAAAAATAGTAAATCAACCTATAATAAGGTGATTCATTGCATCAAACACTACGGTTGTTTCGAATTACGGGTAAGAAATAGTTTTGCTTCAAACTTATCACTTTCATTTCTATAATTAGTTCATTGCCGGTGGAAATCAGGAATCGACCAAAAAAATGTTGGCCTTACCGTATAAACTGGAAAGAAAGTGGGATTTGCGACATTCCAGTTCGGAACTTGTTTGAATACCATTGCTTGGCCGAGAGTAGGTTGAACCCTCATTGTTACAGGAGCAGAGTTCTCGAACTGAAAAGGGCAAATATAAGGTGTTTAATTAATGAAATATTTCAATCAGTGAACTGATATAAGCTTTTTAAGGGGACGTAATCAACATTACCCTTGGACCACTCACAACAGGCAGACCATCATAGCCATGCTGGAGAGCAGAGTTGCTCGAATTTTCGTCATCATTTTGATGATTGGTTGTATAGGGGGGCGCAATGCCCAATTTTAAGTCAAGAACTTCATTCTGGTCTGTAACAAGAGGATCAACAATTCACGGTAAACTAATGCAAAAAAAATGTTTATAAATATGTGGAGATGAGAGATGACAATTCTAGAAGTAGAAAGAGTACCTCCGTTTTCAGATTCCAAGATGAGCTCCCCCTCATACGTGCTTGGCTCGAAGTTGGTGACCGCTTCTCTACCATTACATTTTATAGCAGCCTTGTCATAAGCCCTGATTTTCAAATAACAATAACATAGACAAGTAGAGTTGGAAATCAAACAGGTTTCGAAATCATTTGATTCTCGGTGTTACGAGAGAAACTTGAATTCATAATCTAAGGACCTTGCAGCTTCAATCTCACTATCGAATAGACCCAGATATATGTACCTGCCAGAAAGGAGTGTATAATAGCCCAATCAAAACAATTACTACTATGAATCAATCAATTCATTCATGTTTCAACTTCTTAGATTAATGTAATTACTTAAAACATATCAACCAATATAATAATACAATTTTAGCCTAAGTCAATGTCAATTGATTCCTAGAGTTAGTGTCAGATATGAGTACGCATCCAACACGGAATCGCTTTAATTTTTGTCAAGTTTTCTTCATATATTTGGAGAATCATGCCCCACACTCTATCCTAACATATACCAAAATTATATTTGGTAACATAATCAGAAAACTAAATAAAAAATCCAACTCACAAATTAGCAAAGGATTCTTACTTCTTGCCAAGAAGTTGCCCCATTCGAGCTTCCCATCGGCCGCACTTGTGCAATGTAACTCCCCTGTATTTGGAACTACCTCTTGAAAAACCAGTGCTCTGCCTACGAAGGATATGCACAAATTCTTCTTTTGTAAAATTACTCGTCTACAAAACAAAACGAATGGTTAATTTAACTAAAGAGTATAATTCTCAAAAGCAAATATTAAATTCAATAAATCAAACCCCAAATTCCCAACCTGTTTAATATCATCATCATAATCGCCAACATCAAAATTAATATCCGCATCAATTCCTCGAAACTTGATTGCCGCTCGATCATATGCTCTGTGAAAACCCTCAAACAAAAATTGTATACCCCAAAACTTTTAACAGTTATCTGATTAGAGAACAAATTTTACCTTGCTGCAGCATGTGCTGTGTCAAATCCCCCTGTTTAGAAAGAAAGAACACCCAGATCAAAATTTAAAACCCACCATTTTTAAGCTTCAAAAAGGAAAAAAAAAAGGATCACGGTTTCAATTCTCCTTACCCAAGTACACTTGTTTCCCACAATCCCTGGCATTTTAGGACCATAAAAGAAATACCCAATTGAGGAAAAAAACTAAATGGAAAAAAGTTTAAACAGTAGATTAAGCCAAATGAATCTGTAATATTGCATATGTATATATAAACCAACCAAATATGAGATTCCCAACGTCCGGTTCTACGGTAAAACGTGACGCCACGATATTGAGAACTTCTCGAACGGGGACCACGACGACTCTTTTTTACTTGTGGCCTTAGCTGAACTTGCTGTTGACATTGTTGCTGCTGATGGGTTAGGATCCTCTGCTCCGCGGCTCCCTCGCCGTCCACGTGGTACAACAGAGCTTCTCGGGACCCACCCAGATCCAGCCATTTCTTCAGCAGCGGTTCCGTTGACTTCCCGCCATTTCGCTCGACGGCGACCGGGAAAAGCGAGGTGGTTGCCCCGTCGTTATTCTCTGTTTCTTCTTGCTGGGGCGCTCTGAGGATGCCGAAGGTGTAAGCGAAAGTGTCGGTGGCAGCCGCGCTGGAAGAGGAGTCCTCGTCGCCGCCGGTGGTTGCGGTGTCGGCGTTGACGACGTAGGAACCGATGCTCCCGGAACTATCCAATCGGTTTCTATTATAACCGGAAAAACCAATACGGCCATTTTCTCCGAACGCCTCCATCTCCATTATCTGTACTGAATTATCGCCACCATCAGAAACAACACTCAAGTTAAGATCCAACACCATAACTAAAGCTTAAAAAGAAATGGGAAAACAAACAAGGATTCCAAGGTTTCAAATGAAGAAAAACATGAAGTTAGAAGAAGAAGAAGAAGAAGAAGGGAAGTGTGGGTTTAAAGAAGGAAGTGGATTCATTGAGGTTTCTTCTTCTTCAGATGTTTGGGATTGTGAGGGAAGGAGAAAGATGAAGCAACAAAGAGAAAAAGAGAGAAGGGAGAACAGAGGGGTCCCTCAAAAGGGCACGATGGGACTTATGAGGGAACAAGTAGCTGCCTATTTTGCCATTTTTAATAATTTTCCCTTATTTTTTTTAAAAAAAAACTCAAAACCCCTCTATTTTTCCTTCTTTTCGAGGTTGATATAATTTATGGATTTTTCCCGGATCTTGACTACAATGGTAAGATTTAGAATAACAATTTATGTTTAAATTCTTATTATTATGAATAATTTTAACGCTAACATTTTCTTAGATAATATTAAATTTTAGTTGAAATATTAATTTAATTTAAATAATATTTTAATGTATTCATGGTATATAATTTTATATATTATTAAAAAATAAAATGATGTCATATTATCATAATAAATTAAAAAATAATTTTAAAACTCTTGATAATTTGATATCATTTAATTCATGGGTAAAATACACAAATGGTCCTCCGACTATAGAGTATTACTTTATTAAGTCGTTTGACTATTAAAAATTATAAAATAGTCTTCTGATTATAGAGTATTATTTTGTTGAATCTCTCAACTATTATAAGTTATAAAATGGCCACCCGACTATTTATTATGTTCCAAACTCATCGTTTTTCGTTAAAAATTGACAGCATTCTAAGTTAGACATTAACATGTTGATTGTGATATGATAAAATATGATTTTAGAATCTCAAATGACTATAATATCTCAGTCATCATGTTAACATCCGACTTAAACTACTGTCAATTTTTAACAAAATATGACGAGTTTGGAACATAATGAATAGTTAGATGATCATTTTATAACTTTTAATAGTTGAGGGACTCAACAAAGCAACACTTTACAGTTGGAATATCATTTTGTAACTTTTAATAGTCGATAGACTAAATAAAATAATACTCTGTAGTTGAGGGACCATTTGTGTACTTTACCCTTAATTTATTAACATACATAAAATAATTGATTTTTAATTTCTTAAATATTAATCTTTTCAATTTACTTTTTTTTAACTTCAATCAAAGTTTTACTCTAAATATTTGAATATCAATAATCAAATTGTCTAATTCTTGAACTCAATTTATAAGTCAATATTTATCAGTTAATTAAGACAAGGAATATGCAAATAATATTAAGCTCAAATCAATCTTAATTTAAATTTAAATTTCAGCTCAAATTTGATGTAATATATTAAAAATATGTATATTATATAGATCATTTAAATTCGACATCTTAAAGAAACAAATATAATCATTTATAAAAATTTTATAAATAAAATCTAAAGTTGTTCTTGTAATAAATAATATATGTTCTTAAAATTTAATTTGTAAACTTTTTTTAATAATGAAACAAATAATAAAATAAATCAAAATTATAACATATCTAAAGAAAAAATCAGAGATAATAATCAATAAAAAAATTCGTACATAAAATAAAAATATTAAATTTAAAGATATGAAAAAAACATTTCATTAAAAATTTGGTTCAACATTAAAAAAATTAATACGTTCACGAAGTGATAAACCAACTATAACGAACTAAACAATTTTACGAACAACTGTGTATGAAATATGGTTGATTTATTCCAGTTGGATTGCATTTATATCGGAGGATATAAGGAAGAGAAGAGATTGAAAGATGGGAATGGAGTGTGACTAGACAATCAGTAGGCCTAGGCTATTGGCATTTACTAGAGAAACCGTCCCCCACTGCCTCCCCCTTATTCAACATGTCCCTCATCTAAGCTGTTCTCTTAGGTTTTCTATGGCCATGATTCAACCTTGCTTATTCTACACTTAACTTGTCATCCTAAATTAACGAGGCTTAATATAAAAATAAGCAATAAATTATATCTAAAAATAAATTTTATTATCTACTTTTTTTTCATTAGGAATAGATATTTAAAGTTTCTTCGATATATTTTTAATTGTTTATCATTTAAAAAATTATTAAATGACATATATTATATTTATAATTTTTTTTCAAACAAAATATTATTTATTATTTAAAATTTGAACGTAACTTATGTCATTTAATGATTTTTTAACGAGTCACCTAAAAATATAATAAAAAATATTAAAAACTTATTTATTACAAAAAATTCTTCAAGCATAAAAATTTGACTTTAAGTATGGACACTTATTTTCATTTAAGTCAATTAATAATAAAATTCTTACTTTATAATTTTGTAAATATGCATCCTCTTTTTTAAACAAATTTCTTAGATAATGATGAGGAAAAGAATAAGGGCTTAAATAGTGTGATGGGAATTGTTTTTAGAGAAAATAATTTCAGTGACCAAAAATGTCTTATAATATACGAATTTAACCAACTTTTTTTGGATTTGCCAAAATGATCAACAAATTCGCAACGCGATCTCAAATTCGCAACGCGAATTCTAATTTCGCAACCCAGTTTCTAATTTCGCAACGCGAATATGTAAATCGCATTGCGATTTTCCAAATTCGCGTTGCGATAGTCAAATTCGCAACATGGAAGCCAAATTCGCAACGCGGAAGCCAAATTCGCAACGCGGAAGTCAAATTCGCAACGCGAATTTGTTAATCGCAACTGAATTTCAAATTCGCAACGCGAATTTAATTTCGCAACAGGTTTTAGTTTCGCAACACAAATGTTTTGGGTATATAACAATGCAGCAGCAGCAACTCATAACCTAAATCGCAACTCATTCCATCTCCATCTATCACTCTCTCCGGCGACATCTGTTCCTATATCCAACGACATCCTTCCCCATCTCTTTTTTTTTTTTACATAATTTTATTTCTATATAATTTTTCAATGATTTCTCTCCCAAATTATCAACTATCAACTTAATAAAGGTATATTTTTCTCTACGTTAGTGATGATATCTAGTTTATAGCTCGTTTGTTTAGTAAATTAATTTATAATTTTTAGAATGAAATCATCTAATGTTGATCATGTTTGGATAGATTTGTATTTTTTAGGGTCATGGGAGAATGTTCATGGTGTTTTACAATATGTGCCTTTACCCATGAATCTTCAACTAAAACTATCATTAAAAAAGTTAACTTATGAAACTATAATGTTACGTGTTGCAAAGAAATTGAATTTAGAGCCTCTAAGTGGATTTAGGTTATCTTATCTGAGAAAAGGTAAAGTTTATTTGTTAACCGACAATGAAGATGTTGAACGATTCATTGCTTACATTAGTGTTTCGCAAGAAGATGATGTTACATTATATGTTGTTGAACCTAGAAGTAGTGAAGTTGGGTCAGTAGCGGGTAGTAATCAACTAAGTTCTTCAACCCAAAATTTAATGGTTCCACCACAATTTCATCACTAAGCAAATTTTGTTTCACCACATTTCCAATACCAAACACAATATCAAAACCCACAACCTTTTCCTAATCCAAATCCTAATCAACTTTTAGCACCAAATTCTGGTTTTCGTATTGACCAGTTAGACGATTATGAGCCAACAGAAAAAAATTGTGAGTACTAGTCAGTATTCAAAATTTGATCTTGGTCAATACCCGGACTTTGATCTTGGTCAATACTCGGATTTTGATGATGTGATGGAAGAAGAAACAGACCATGCATGTAATAATTTTGATATTGGTCAATACCCGAATTTTGATGATGAAACAGCCGCTGCCGAGGAAGATGTTGTTGATGATAATGAGGAGAAAGTTATGACTGTGAATGAACATGTTGAACATTCATTCTGTAATTCATATAACCCTGAAGAAGAAAAAGAAGAAGAAGAAGAAGTCCCCGAAGAAAGGAAAAAGAAGAAAATGCCACGGGAGTATAACTGGAATATGCCAGAATTACTTCAGATACCGGAAGAAGAGTTGGTAAAGATATCAGTTGATTGTTACACAAAAATTATTCGTATCAAGAAAGATGATTGTTTTGATACAAAGGAAGACTTGAAGATAGCTTTGTATGCGAAATGTGTGGAAGATGGCTATCAACTAAGAGTTAACAAATCAAGCAAAGACCGTTTCGAAACAAGGTGTATGATTGACAAAAACTGTACGTGGCGTATGATTGCAAAGAGGTTAAAAGATTGCAAAATGTTCCAAGTTAGGACTTTTATTGATAAACATACATGTTCAAGAACCCAAGTTTTTCCTCACCATAGACAGGCAAACAAAAAGGTGTTGGGTGGTTTTCTGGCTGAGCTAATGTTTTTGAATGGAATGATATATCGGGGACATGAAATTATGACCGACATGAATGCTCGGTTCAAGATTAGTATAGCATATTCTCAAGATTGGAGAGCCAAATGTTATGCCTTGGAATTGTTGAGGGGGTCGCCAAAAGCATCGTTTGCCCAACTGCCGGCTTATTGTCACAATTTAAAGCTGAAAAATCCTGGGTCGGTAACTCATATCAAAACAGATAGAGATGGACGCTTTGAGTTGTTGTTTATCGCCATTGGTGCTACGGTTAGTAAATAATTATAATTTTGTTGACTCATTTTTGTTAGTTGCATGCATTTCACATTTAAATGATTATATTTCTTGTGTATATGATTTTGTAGATTCGTTCGTTTATTACTTGCATGCGCCCAGTTATTATAGTTGATGGAGCACATTTGAAAGGTCGATACATTGGAGTAAACTTATTAGCAGTAGCCATGGATGCTAACAATGGGATACTGCCAATAGCTTACGGGGTTGGCAAATCTGAAACCTCTGATTCATGGACATGGTTTATGGGGCATCTTAGGGATTGCATAGGTCCTATTAGCAATCTGACAATCATATCCGATAGGGCAAACTCAATTGACAACGTTGTTAGAAGGTGTTTTCCATATGCTTTTTATGGACTTTGTGGTGTTCATTTGTACAGAAATCTAAAATCAAGGTCTGCTGGTATAAAAAATCACAAATGGACATACTGGAAGACTGTAAAAGCTTATCGGGAAGTGGATTTTAATAAGCATATAAATTGTTTAAGACGTGTTTTGCCTCAATGTGCTCAAACACTAGAAAATGTAAGGTTTGAAAGATGGTCAAGAGTACATCAACTTGGAGCAAGATATGGTTTCATGACGTCTAATAGTGCAGAATCAATCAACGCTCTAAGTCGTCATT